GGTTCAGTCAAGCAATATGTGGACCAAAAACATCGCCCACTATTTGAAACATCACCCATGGGCGGGGTTTAGGATGGGCGGGGTATCAGCCGAATCCGGTAGATCTCAGCACGTGCCGAAATTTTTAATCTTTGTGTTTGCAGATGGATTACAGCAGTTGCGTCATGTTGGTCGGGACCAAGAGATGCACTTGAGACCGATATAGCCTGTACCGAATCTGTTATTCAATAACATCTTCAATGACAACAGAGCTTAAAAAATAAGCCCAACATTACCAAGTACTAATCCAATATACCGAGTGTCATTTCTAATACAGGAAAACATCAGTTCTGTTCAAAACAATGCAAAATTTCAGACAATTTCTTCATTAAATTCTGTACATTGTAACTATATTTCCTAAATCAATATACGTACATATATCTTAGATAAAATTGCAAAATGTTTCAATAACATTTTTTGCAAATTTGAAGTCATAGTCATAAATGACTAAGCAAGTATCAGCACTGTTTCACTCCACACCCAGTTTTTAGAACCCGATATCCAACATGCCCCCCCCCCTGACATTGCACACTTAGCAATTCTTCACCAATATTTAGCTACGATAGTATGAAAGTACACACAGAGGTAGATACACTATTAAACCTTGCGAATATGTACATACATACATACATACATACTGTTTATCAAAATTAAGGTTAAAAATAGAATGCAACACAATGCTATCCTTTTAAATTATTTAATTCTTTTTCTCTTCAATATATACAACAATTTTTTACTTTATAATATACAATACAAATATTGACATCACAAAACTGACGTGAATCTTACTGACTGGCAATAAATGTCATGCCAAATAGAAGAAACAGTGGTAACAACCTGCATATCAGTGTAAGATGACAGTAAAATGTGGCAACACATGGTTAATGGGAAATATAAAGGGAATTCAAAAATGGCATCAAAAGTTTTACCAACAAATTATCGATGCCCTAAGAAAACACACTTTAATCATTTCAATCAGGCAAATGTTTAGTGTTTGGTAAATCATAACAGAGATGACAATCTAAACAGGGCATTGACATGAACAAATATATACAATGTATGAATCACATCTTGGATGCTGCTGCAATGAAATCTAAAACAAACTGCAAATAGGAATAGGATAAAGACCTACTTGCAATAATTTGATTGAAACAAGTTATAGATTGTGACAGTCATCCAATAATAGTTTTGATTCTCTGATTACTCAGCCACTGAATGCATGCATGAAGGATGCATCTCCCAATACATGTATCATTCTAGAACTTTCATGCATGCAGACAATGATACAGGCTATGTACATCAAGCAGAATGATGATCAAATTGACAAAGCAAAATCTCAGGAAAATACCGAACTTGAAATCGTGACATGTTGCCCCCTCTTTTTTTACTCAAAGGCATGGTGCCCAGGGAACTAAAATCTCTTCTATAATTCATGAATATAGTATATGCTTGAAGGTTATGCAAAAACGTTTACTAGTATTCCATTGTAGAAAGAATCAATAACATTTCATACATGAATACAAGCAAAAGATGAAGGTTACCTGCATGGCCATCAAAACAATATTCATGAACAAATAGCCACAAGGTCAAACACAGATGTGCCTTTTGTATGTTCTTGGAGCAATGACAATCCATGTGGCTATGTCATTGAAAATGAAATGATCAGTCTAAAAATAATTCAGAGTATTTAAAATACATCGACTGCTAGTAAGGAATTCAAATCATCTTGCATACAATAATACAGAGCAAACTGGAATGCATACAAGCAGGGTTTGTAGTAAAAGTTTGCAAATCAACCTTTTTTTCCATCCACACAAAGGTCACTAGAAAAAGTTAATTACATTCTATGATGCTCAAGTATATGAGGGTGTTATGTGACCAGAAAATAGTTGTTCTGAGCCTTGGCAAATAATTTACAAGAACAGTCCTGGCATAACTTAACATTTTGCTGGTTTAAAGTTAGCTCAGTTTGCATTCAAATCCACCATACAGCTAAATTATGCAGAGTAATCTGCTTAAATATTTCTCATATTAGTAACATACATAAATACTACAAAGAATAAGTAGAAATTATTGATGATATTACACAATTTTTTATGAAAAGGCAAAGGCAATTGACTTCAGATTGGGAGTCAAGTTACACCAGACTGTACTACCAGTATTTTCCATAACAGCACAAAAGATATATACCAAAAGATACCATAGCTGTCATATGAACATTGGCCATATATTGGATCAAAACACATGTATGAAGCATACAGTAGTACCCGGTAAAGGTATGCTTATAAATGGAATAAAATGTTTACATAGGCTCTGATTAAAGACAAATAAAATATCGACTAATTCTGGACAACAGATTTTCGTTTTGAATTCCACAAAAGAATCAAAGGCATTTATTTATATTATACACAAGATAAGGATCAATATAGAGATAACCAGAGATGTCAAATGTTCAGGGAGGCTGGGATTCAGATTCACTAGTTCTTTGCTCAAGTTTTCAATACAAATTGAATGCTTCATAATACATTGTATAATTACCAAATCAACCAATAAGTGTTTTTATGTCATAGTATGGGTTAAATAGGATAGCAATGTATTACCTAGATTAAATACTAGTATGCTTCTAATAAAAGAAATACACTCAAAGAAATCTGCTGCTTATAACTTTGATATGAATGCACATTTTTACACAAAACAGATTAACGATTTTAAAATAAATTTTTCATACTAACTATAAGATTTCATTCAAATGTTTGTATTGCACAATTTTGTTAGTTTTATTTGGTGCACTCAGTAATTAGTAGTACTGGAACTCTCCAAGTCACCCATGCAGTCCGTACTGGGCACTAGCAACTCCCTAAGTCACCCAGTACTGGGTACTACACAACTCCCTAAGTAACTCAGTACTGGGCACTACCACAACTCCCTAAGCAACTCGGTGCTGGGAACTACCACAACTCCCTAAGTCACCCAGTACTGGGCACTACCATAACTCCCTAAGTAACTCAGTACTGGGCTCTACCACAACTTCCTAAGTCACCCAGTACTTGGTACTACACAACTCCCTAAGTCACCCAGTACTGGGCACTACCACAACTCCCTAAGTAACTCAGTGCTGGGAACTACCACAACTCCCTAAGTCACCCAGTACTGGGAACTATCACAACTCCCTAAGTCACCCAGTACTGGGCACTACCATAACTCCCTAAGTCACCCAGTACAGGGAACTACCACAACTGCCTAAGTCACCCAGTACTGGGCACTACCACAACTCCCTAAGTCACCCAGTACTGGGCACTACCACAACTCCCTAAGTCACCCAGTACTGGGCACTACCACAACTCCCTAAGTCACCCAGTACTGGGCACTACCACAACTCCCTAAGTCACCCAGTACTGGGAACTATCACAACTCCCTAAGTCACCCAGTACTGGGCACTACCACAACTCCCTAAGTCACCCAGTACTGGGCACTACCACAACTCCCTGAGTCACCGAGTACTGGGCACTACCACAACTCCCTGAGTCACCGAGTACTGGGCACTACAACAACTCAAGACATGGTACTATCATAACAATTATAATCAGTATGTGCAATTAATATTGCACTTGCTTACTTTTATACATAAAGTGATTTTTAAGTAAACTTGACTCAAATTACCGTAACTGTTGATAATGTACACATGTAAGAGAGGCTGGTGGAATCACACTGGGCTTAGACTACCACTGCTATTAGAAACCTTGATAGGAAACATTAGAACTTTAGCATGCATGAAATCCAAGTTTGGTAGACTATCCAGTATACTGTTGGCTTCTTCACTGAGATTAGCATCCCTTTTACTTGGTTTTTTCACCATTGATGTTGTAATGTTAGAGAGTATATCGGCAAATGGCTTGGCAGTTGGTTTCACCGTTGGTGGCATTGGTATAGTGTCAATTTCTAAGCCTAGAAGTTCATCATCTAATCCTGCAACAGACAACGTATAGCAATATTTTAGTACTTGTGTAGAGAAACAAAAATAGAATGTCTCACTGCAATAATGTAAAGAAATTTGACAGTATGAAAATGTGTTATGATAGTGAAAGCAGGCAATAGCAAATAAATTTGAATTGTAACTTAAAGGTAGCAAGCAGGATCTTTCTGTGGTAGTATACTACTTGTAACTATGACAATGTATACATATTCTGAAAGCTTGTATATGGGCGAATACACACGTAATTTTTCCTTTATTTGTTACACTGTTTCTCAAAAGCAAATACAGAGACTATAATGGCAGTTCATACTTCATTAATTTATCATGTTAGAAAAAGTTGACAATTCAAGCGACCTATCTATTGTGAGTACAAATCATGTAAAAGCACAGTGAAATGATTATTGTATACAAAATTATTTTTCACTGAATCCATTAAGCAAACAAAACTCACAAAGTATTTTCATTTATATTCTCCCATATTCAAGCATTCAGGAAAGATGCATAATGTCATAGGTACATGTTGAGTAAATGACTAAGAATGATTTTGGTAAAGATCAATTCATTATGTAATTTTCCCTGCTTGCTACCTCAAAACAAAGACAAAAGCCTTGCGCATGAAGCAGCAATGTGAAAAATGATGTTGTTTCACTGATTAGCGTGTTAATAACATGTTGCTATTACTGAAAAAGGACCATGTATTAAATAAACTGGACATGGATGAGGTACTGTTACATGTGTGTACAAGGTACGAGTACAACACAATAGGTGAGCAAAGGTCTTTTTCATTGTTATCTGGTAACTAAACTAAGTTGTTAAGCATTGGTTTCATACTGATGCATGTGATGACAAGCATCATGATTGAATTGATCTGCAAGTACATTGCTGATAATGATTCGCAAGTGACTCTACTTATCACTAACTCCCTGATAGTTTTATTTTTATGTGGTTGGATAATTGAGTACAATTTTTAATTTTATCACGTCAAAATTATTTGCTCAACATAAGTGAATGTGTCATTGTTGCAACAGTAACATTTCATTATTTTTCAGACAAAATGTATTAGTGATCCATAAAAAAATAATAATCCAACCTCCATATACCATTTTAATAAAGCAGCTTGGATGGTTGCTATACACTATATTGGTTTGACTGTATTGTAAATGCTGTTATGTGTTTCATTTGTCTATGTGAATATTTATCAGCATGCTAGCATTGATGAGAGTCAACTGTAGTGACTGGTGCTTGCAAGTGAAGGCAGTCAAAATTTCCTATTCGGCCACACTAGATAACGCAATTACTCAAAAAATATGAAAACAATAACTTTGAAATGAGTAAAATGTGTTTGCTGTTGAAAAAAACCAAAAAGTTATGACTAATTCATCAATGGAAGAGTTTATTTTTTAAATCAAATGACACAATCACAGTGAATGACACATAACAATCACCGAAACCATGTATCAATGTAAGGACTGAAGCAAGGTGAAGTCAGCCCATTGTTATTATTGGATGATGGTGGTTGGTTGCTTTACACAAGTATCAAATGAACAAAACTAGATTATTAATACACAGAAGCCCAAAATAGATTGCGAATTTGACATACCTTGTATGTTTATTACCACCACCATCCTGTTATAGCAATAGGCAGCAATAAAAAGAATTGAGGGGACATTCCAGAAGATGTTTGGACAGATAATAATAGATAGATAAACAAAACAAATAATATATAGTGAAACACATCAGAGTAAGAAACCGACAGGTAGGTTGGCAGACAGGTTAATCATTGTGCCCGGCATGCTAGAGAAGGTATCAAGCAAAACAAGCAAATTAACATCACAATGCCTAGTGCGTGCATGCAGAGGTAACATTTACACACTGCACTCAACTAATTTATCATGCTTTAAAAATAATTGTGCCTAATTTTATACTCAACTGCACATTATTACATCCTACTATATACAAACTTATAACTCATCTAATTGTACAAAATTACTGAGTGGTTAAAAGCTGAAGGAAAATTGATTATATTTTGTTGGATTCAATTTTGTTGCAGGTTTCAAGTTTATTTAAGGTAGAGATGCAGTTTACCTGACAGGTATTTTAATTAGTTAATTTGGAAATCAAGATGACCTCCCTTGTCCACAAAACTATATATTTTCGAAAAGCTTATTGTATGAATTTTAAAATTTTGTTTGAACACTAGTTTGAAATGCACAAAAATGCGCTTTTTTGATCAAAAGTGATTTAAAAAAAATTAGTTTCTAAACCATGCTTCTGTTTCCTGTCAAAATTGGTTTATGGGTACATTTGTTTACTATGAAGAAAGTGCAGTCTTGAAAACTGTCTACCAGTTGTCAATTTTGCAGGGCAGCAGCTCAAATTTCACTACTTCAAGTTTATGCATAAATTAACATCCAGGCTAATTGTCTGTACGATTGTTGTAACACTGTTCAACCCAAAACAATGCCCTGTCGGCATTTTGAAGATAAACACATTGTCAATCAGTTGTGAAAAATTCAAAACAAAAGGTCAACGTGTCTAGGAGCTATTTTTTTTTAAAGTTCGTGGATAAGCACTAAAAAGAAGCTGAGATAATTGCTAATTTGCATAACAATTCACTTTGTTTGCTAATGCTCATAATTAAAATGGCTGTAAAAGTTCCAAGTTTAAATGTATTATCGTTTTGTTAAAAGTTAAATATAGTGCACAATATGGAGATCCCGTCATTACTTTTTTCACCATGTTACGTTTTTAATATTTATGTACAGCCTTGCTAAATCTTGCTAAGCATTCAAAAGAGAGAATGTTTGCACCTGTAATCTATATTTTAAAATCGTTTGAGCATGTTCCACTATTCACAATTCTACAAAATTTTATAGCCAAGACTGTTTGGATAATAACAAGCAAAAAAAAATTCACTCCCTAGTGCCCATGAACCTGCATCTCTACCTTAAGATGCAGTATTGTACTTACTATGTATTGATCAAACCAACTGGCATGTGATCACTGTACATTATAGTCTAAAACACTGACAGTCAAATATTATAATTACCCATGTATAAAGGCTACAGTGAAAATCTATGATTTGATTAAATAGTTTTGAAACCTAACTTCTAAAGCCTCATTTCTACACAGGTTAATAAAGACATGGGGTGCTTTTCTCCTCACCAAGTACAAAATAGCTGAATATAAATTTAATTTTAAACTCAACTGACGCAAGATGAGGGGGATGGCTTCCCACGGCAAGGTCTGATATTTTTAAGGCAGAGAGGATATGTCAGCATAAAGCAGAGCTGGGGAGCAGGTGAGCAAACAAGAGAATATTACCTGATCTTGTCTTGGTGTTAGTCTTTTTGTTGGAAGATAATTCAGTAGCAAAGAAGTCCAAATTAAGACTGTTTGCTGTGAGAATATGACATGAATAAGAAGATGAGAGATGAATTAGGCTGGCAGTGGCAATTGTTAATTATGCAAAGTGAGTGTTATGATATGTTAATTAGTAAGCAACTTACCATCTAGAGGATTAATTAGTCCACTACTACTCCAATCAAACTCTACTTGTGGTAGGGCTTCCTGAGGGAAAAAATAAACAGTGCAACAAGCGTCATCAGACAGTTGTCTTTGCTGGTTTACAAGGTCTTGTGAGCAACAAATAGGACACCAACAAATTTTTTGTGTGTAATAAAGTAACATAAGGGTGAATATTTCATCACATTCCCCCGCGATTTTATAGTCTAAACAGGCACATGAGGGTTAAAAAAAAAAAAAAGGAATATACAACAAACAAACTTGATAGAGTAAAAAAAGATGCCTGAAGAGGGCGCTATACACAAAATGCTCATTGCATTGGTTGGTACTTTGACTACAGTGACTTTATACTCTCATACTTTCACATACAGGATAACATTTCAATTGCAAGTTTTACTAAAAAATCTGGGCATATTAATTATCTTATTAATTTGTATATCAATTAGATTGATCTCAGGAACCATCAAGAGGATCCGATTTGATTAATTAGCTGTATCTGCATATTAATTAACACTTGTAATTGAATCAAAGACCAGTAAAACAAATGCATTTTTGGTATTATAGAATCTCTTGACAAAAACATAACCTAGAGAGGGTTTACATTCTCTACAGTGAAACTGTCTTAGTGACTGCCAGTACATATTATGTAATTACCAAAAGAAACAGACTTGAGACCACTAGTGCAATACAAACAAGATAATACATTGCTACGAACAAATTTAGCAGATAAAGCACAAGACAGAATAATTAACAAAGCATGATCTAAATTTAAGTAGGACAATGACTGGATGCAGCATAGACATAACATGGGGTGAACTGCAGTTAAAGCAATGTATGCAAATGAATACTACACTTACTTACAACAACATTGGCATGCATGACAGTGTATACCTGAGGTAGAACTGTGTCCTTATTTATCTCTTCTTTGTCTTCACTTTCAGGTTTTTCATCCTTCTCCCCAATTTTACTCGGCTGCAGAAGGGTCAAGTTGCTGGCATAGATGGGAATTGAAGATGTTGTTTTCTTGGACATTAACTGAGAACAGAACAGGGAGCAGCCATGAGTTGGAAGGCAGGTCACATTCTCACGTTGGTGCTCCAAAACAATTATCATATTAATTGAGAATGTATGTTGGGCCAAAGATGCTCAGCCTGACAATTTACAACCCATTCGCGGTTGATTTTTTTTATTATTATTTATTTACTAGATCAATTTTCACTAACACCACAACTAATAATAATACAAATATTTATTGGAGCAACAACAAAAACATACATGTCTAAAAAAACTAAATAAAAAAACGGCAATAAATAATTCTTCATATTTCTGTATTTTCCTAAGATAATAGAAAACTTTCAAATTTCAGTTGATATAATTTCACTGAAACTGAGAGAGATGACTTCAAGTAGCATTCTCAAATAAACATAGAAGAGTTCCACCAACATCATCATGTTCATATACAGGACGTAGTAAAAAGTAGACCAAATAATTACTTGAATATGCAACATATAGCATACTCGAATGCTCCCAATATAACAAGAAGTCTTTCACCATACTGATATATTAGAGTTTGGTTAAACCCTACTACACACTCTTGACTGGTTTTTAAATTCTGAAGTGTGAAATTACACACTCTGGACAATAAATATATTACTATTAAAACATGATGTTTAATAACTTACAATATTTCTTGTATCAATTCCTAATGATTTCATTAATGTTTTATCATTATTGGATCCTGTCCATTGGTAACTCAAAGCATGTGTCTTCTCTATGTCCTTTAAATGATTCCATATATTCAAATCAGCCTCCTCCCTACAGAGAGAAACAAAATAACCATCATCAGATATGGCGGAACATCTTTGCATTGTTTCACAAGGAGTGGGTGAGGACCTTGTTTTGACTACTGTAGAATATGCTATTTTCGCTTGGAATTAATTTTTGCTATTTTCAGTGATTCAGTGAAAATAAAATCCAGCAAATATACCCTTTCTCCTTTATTTTACATTCAACTTGTCAAAAATCAGTAAAACAAAATTCCATACAAAGCACCAAAAATGTTTTTTTCAGTGAAAATGAATTCCAGTCTAAAATAAAGTATTTTACAGTAAACCAAGCTAGCAATACTGTACAGTAGATAAATGGCGAGTCAAATTATTCCACACTAGAACATATCAAGTCGGAAACATACCCTGCAAGAGGCATACTGAATCACATTTTGTCAAAGTCACCAACAATTGATGTAATACTACAGTGAACATCAACCTATGTACTGTGGAATACTTTATTTTTGCAGGAATTAATTTTCACTGAAAAGGCTTTTTGGGCGTTTTGCTTGGAATTTATTTTCACTGATTTTTGATGAGTTTAATGTGAAATATAGGAAAAAAAGTATATTCACTGGATTTTATTTTCACGGAATCGTCCCTTCAGCGAAAATAAATTCCAAGCAAAAATAAAGTATTCTACATTATGTTGCATTTGAATTATAGACGCTTATATTACTATATAACAAGTCATTGAAAATGACACAGTTCCCGTTCAAACTGTACAAATAAATTCTCATGTACCAAACTTGGTCTTGACAATATTCAAGAAATATATTTACATGGTGAAATACCAAAACAGTGTACATTCTGAGTATGACAAATAAGAATAAACAAAAGAAAATGGTTTACAGTGCACTGATCAAGTACGAGTACTTTCAAAACATTTTTCAATGCAGTGTGTAATGTCTGAAAC